GTATAACGATTCACTAATTTTTTTAAATTTTTTTGAGAATAGTTCTGACTGATTTTCTTGCATGATAGGGAAATTAAAATAATGTAAGTTTGATATCATTTCATGCTCAACATACACGCTTTTGAATTATTTTGATATCTTAAAAAATAACTTGGCAATTAAACTTTCCGCAGACCACGGTCTTCCGTCAAATTCGCCAAACCACCATTTTAGAAATGGCTACCTCAAAAAACCATGGCTCATAAAATTTTTTCAAATGGCGATTTGGGAACCTATGAAATAAAAACCAGAAAAATAAAAAATACCGAGCAACAAATTATATTTATACACGGTGGTGCCTAGCGCAACGCAGCATAGGGATTTCAATGGTAATTTCTTTATAGTCAATTACTAGCTCCCCAAATTATTTTAGAGCAAAAGTCTAAATACGTCTTTTTTAGAGAAAAAAATACTGCATCTGTTCATACTATTAGTTATAATTTTCCATTTTTCAAAACCGTAGAAATCGACAAAATAAAAAATTACATTTTTATAAATCAGTGATGCTTTGGAATCTTTTAACAAACTACAAGCGCATCGCATCTAAGTTATCGTTGTTTGACGTCGAACGATTTTCATATTTAATTCTGTTTCAACTAACCGACGCAATAAAAGGCATCTTAGGGTAATGTTTTTTTAGAAAATGTATGCTGCATCTGCATCAGATACTATTTGTTTATCATTTTCCGGAATCAGGGTACCTATACATAATCGAAGAAAAAACACTGATTTGAAGAAGATTTGTTCCTAAACTTATATTCGGATTTTCCGCTACTGCAGCCAAAACGTTGAATGTATTGTCGTTTTCCTGATGGTTTTGACGGACATTTTGAACTTATTGCACTTGCAGTTCTTTAAACTAATTTATAAACAAGTATAAATTTAATATACGTCAAAGGCAAACAATGAAACGTGATCGCTGTTTTTTTTAGGTAATTCCAAGGCATATTTGATTTATTGTAAAATGAACCTTTTTATTTTGTAGATTTTTACGGTTTTGAAAAACGGAAAATTATAACTAAAAGTATGAACAGATGCATAATTTTTTTCTCTAAAAAAAAAGGTTGTAGACTTTTGCTGTAAAATAATTAGGGGAGCTAGTAATTGACTATAAAGAAATTACCATTGAAATCCCTATGCTGCGTCGCGCTAGGCACCACCCGGTATATTGGGTGATTTCAAATGGATTGACCCTCAGCAAAACGGGATAATTTCTGGGCTCTAGGAAATTTACTGGAACTGTCGCTGCACAAATTTTCATTTCGTTCCTCTTCTACAAAATTCGTTCATTTTAGATATATGGATATAATTCGAAACTAACAAACTACTCTTATTTTTCAGTATAGAATCTATTAATGAACAGAAAAAGGGGGGGGGGGGTTGCATTTCAAAATAAATTATTTGCATTTTCAGAACTGCGAAATTTGGTATGAATTTCTGAACCTTTTATACAAATTTTTTTTACTAGTTTTAAATATGGGTTTACCTCGATTACCTTATAACAGAGAATTTAGATTTTCTTTAGATTTCGAAAAAAACTCAAATAATGCTTACCTACTCCAAATTTTACTTTTCAAAAATGAGTAAATATTAGAGGGTAGGTATCACATTTAAAATAACGACCTCGATAACGACGTATATGCTCGCGTATATGCCGGTGATGTGGATTACCGTTTATGATCGTTGTCGAGGGTTAAGGTAGATTAAATGAAGGATTCATTTTTGGTTTTTGTCTAAATTTTGTCATCATGTCAAAAATGGTTTACCTAAAGACAATATGTGAAGCAAAAATTGAAATACTTTACAATAAAAGCTGGTAAATTAGGGATTGGATTGCGGTGGATTACGTTTGAAGATCGTTTTACCAGAGTTAAGGTAGGTTAGATTCCGGGATTATATTTGGTTTTTGCTTAAATTGTGTCTCTCAATATTTTATTACCTTTTTCATTTATAGCTGAATAGTTATTTTATTACTATCGTCACACTAAATATGCAAATTTATTGCGGGAAAGTTATTTCTAAATTCACGCGGGAGCAAAACTTGCCTTTCTTCTTTTTCTTGAATCCCCATATACTTCATTTCGTCGGGCTCATTTTGAAAATTTCTTGTGAAATTGGAATGAGCATAGGTACCCAAAAACCTAGGCAAAGGCGTTAATACTCGTCTTATATGAAAAGTGTTATGGTCGTCGATAAAAAATTAAAGAAGAAACACATATTTTGATTTTATTTCAATTGTGCTTTTATTTTATAGTGGGCGGCAGGCGCGGATCTAGGGGGGGTCACAGGGGGCCGGTGGCCCCCCCCCCCCGTCCAGCCCCCGTCCATATAAAAAATTTACATCATTTTCCCCGATTGGGGGTTTGGCATGGACAACCTTTTACCCTAACGCGGCGTACAATTTTCGCGCATGAACGTTCGTGCGCGGAAATTTGTTTAAGTGAGTAGCGGCTAATACTTATCTTCTGAATTATAATTCGTCAGACTGGCTCTGGCAACATTGTAAGCGTAACAATCGAGAGTTCGACTGACATGACAACAGCATATTTCACGTCTTCCTTTGAGTGTGTAGTGCGCAACTCCCCATCCACTTAGGTACTTGACTGGCTTACTGAAGAGTACAGTTACTTTTCGCCTTGCGATTTTCGAAAGCCGGCCATGATAGTGTTATACAGCTATTTGGACTGATTCCAGTCAATTTACAAAATGTTGACAATCAAACTATAGTTGAAGCCGCTAAGTTTTATGAAGATGACCTGCCTGGTTCCCTATTAGAGCTGTCTGGAGAATTAGAACTGTGGAAAATGAAATGGGCGAATGAAAATGAATCAAGAAAACCTTCTTCTGTTCTGGAAGCGTACACAAACGCATCCAGTTCTTTTTTCCCCAATATTCAAACCTTATTCCACATACTTGCTGTTTTACCAGTGACAACTTGTACGGCTGAAAGGTCTTTTTCTTCATTACGACTGATTAAAACTTACTTGCGATCGACCATGCAGGAAAATCGCTTAAATGGGTTAGCATTATTATATATTCATAAAGATATTGCTATAAATGCTGAAGAAATATTGGCTGACTTTGCAAAACGTCGACTTCAGTTACAATATTTGTAAATAGAACGTTTGTTGTATTGTGTTTATAAAATAATCTTATTCGCTATTTTTTGTTCTTCTACTCTCTATAAATAAAAAAATTAACTTAGCGTTTATTTTTTAATTTTGAAAATCCACAAAAGCACCGGGCCCCCCCCGTAAAATATGTCTAGATCCGCCACTGTTGGGCGGAGTATTACTCCATAGCTTTTTTTTGGGAAGTTAGCCCCTTGGAGTAGATGAATGTGAGAGCTTGACAATCAAATGTCGCAGACATGCATTAAAATTGCATCTGTAATTTCGCTTATTCCATATTCATATTCTTCTTTTATTTTAAGAAAGGAGACAAGGACAAGGGAGAATTAATTATCTGGTTCATAATTGTTCGTTTGCTTTCTCCACCCGTTCAAAAGTACCTACCTTCTAGCCTTTCCTTGAAAATGGAAAACATGTCCGATATAGGTATTCTCGCACGATTAGGGCGTTGTGCGCTGGTCCACCATCCAGTTGAAACCAACAGTTTCCAACTTCATTTTTTGGTGTCGTACATCATTGTATTGGTAATAAAATAGTTATTTACATTATTAGTGCGGGAACAGTTATTTTGCAGATGAGCACGAAGTTTGGCGGCGCGAGTGCGCAACGCGCACGAGCGACGCATCTCCCGCGAATCAAGCAAATCCTGTTCACGCACGTAACATGTATTCTATTTTTTGCACGGATTAGTTAAATCGAATTTATATAAATTCAAATCCTTTTCGCGAGATTTTTGCGACATTATAATTCTTTTGAAAAAATCAAGTCCTCTATGCCGATAAAGTAGAAATCTAGAAATTTAAAATGTCAATTTATTGTTCAAAACTTCTGGTTTAAGCTTATTTTTGCCCCTGTACTACAGGGAATGATGTAAAGTGTATTTATATTTTCTTTTTTACTCTTCCATCATACTACTTATTAGTTTATGATCCGCACTAAATAGATAATTTCGTTGAATTTTTAGGCACTAGTGCGCGAAAGTAGATAGTCAATTGTAAAATTGACGTTCCCGACTTTCGTGTTTTATTGGGAAAACGCTATTTAGAACGAAGGAGTGCAAAAAATTCTACTCAATACAGTATGTACTTTTTTATGTGCCATATATAAGAAAATGAAGTGATCGCATTTTCTGGTTTTCTTTGCCGCATATGATAATAACTGTTTAATTGCGCAACTTGCCCGTAATTTTGCCATCTTAGTATCTTCTATGGTTTCCAAGATCCCTATCATAGGCACCCTTATCTTGAACATCCAGTAAATTTAAAGTATTTTAACTTCCACTGTGCCGTATTACCTATTTGTTCATTTGTCTGCGATACGATTTAACATTATTAAAACACTGCATACAGAGTATTTCATTATATTACATTCTTTTTCGTTTCCCCCACCCTGCCCATTAAAATCTATTAAATAAAAAATGCGCTTTCTACGAGGTCCGAGTGCTGAGGTATTAAAATCCCTCAAACGGACGGGCGAACGCAATTCACACAAGTATAAATTGTATTCTTTTATAAAAAAATACACTAAAAATAGCTTTAATTCAGGCATGACAATACAACAGGCGAGTGACTGAATTCCTCGAAACTTAAAAAGATTTTTTAGGAAGGTACAAGGTGTTCCCACGATCTAAAGCTGACAAAGTGGATTCAAAATCGAATTATTCAAAAAACAAATGCAACTTTATGTACCTACCTATCTGCCTATTTTGATTTATGATGCGACGTTGCATACAATCTGACCAATAGTTTGCTTTTTACAATATTACTAAAATAATACAATCAATTAGTTAATGTGTAAAGTAAATAATTTTATATCATTTCTATGTTGCAGATTTCATCAGGTGATGGCTTGCCAACTTGCATCTGTCATAGATGTTTATACAAGATAGAGCTGTGCATAGAATTCAAGCAACAATGCTCCATGTCGGATGCAACGCTAAGACAAATCAACGGTATGCCCGCGAAACAAACTACTGAAAATTCTTCAATTGTAATGTCAAAAAACTATACCCAAGATGACGAAGCTATAGTGGTTGTTGATCCTTTAGTTTTAGACTACGATTCTGAATATGATTCCGAAAATGAACAGCAAAGCGACATAGACAATCCAGAATTGAACGATCTGTATGAGTTTCGAAATGTTTTCATGTGCAAATTTTGTGATCAAGCATTTACCGGCAAAACGGAGTGTGCGTCGCACGAAAGTTCTGCACATAATCATAACGTTCCCTATAACTGTACCGAATGTGACATGGGTTTCGGTGATCGAGCCCAATACTCGGCACATCTAAAAAGTGTCCACCAAAACGATAAACCCTACAATTGTCCACAATGTGAACGTACTTTTGCTCGGAGATCCGATTTAAGGAAACACACCATCGTTCACACGGGAATAAAGCCGTTCACTTGCAATATTTGTTTTAAATCGTTTTCTCGCAATACAAACTTATCAAAGCACATGCGCATTCACTCGGGTCAGAAACCATTTGTATGTCCGAAGTGTCCAAAAACTTTCATTTCAAAAGGAGATTTGACAAGACACGCCATTATACACTCGGGTCAAAAACCGTTTAGATGCAATTATTGTCATCTAAGTTTTGGAAGAAGGGATAAGTTAATGAGACACGAAAAACGTCACTTCCCGCAGACTAATTCGGAAGACAAATCTCAAGAGTTGGAATTAATGAGACAAAACTTGTCAATTAATGATTACGGGTACAAAAATGAAACGGAAAACACTATGGAGGCGACTACCGATCCAGAAAAACAAGAGGAGTGGGCAAGTTCAGAAAATATGATAATCAATCTAGATCCCTTTAATCACAACAGTTACGGTAATCCGGATAATACTCCTCGAAGTGATCTTCATTCAGAAGCAGAGCCAGTTGACACAGAGCAACAGGATGGCGTTTCTGCGCCATCAGATATCAACACGGACAACATAGAAAATACTGCACCAGCAGATGCAGAACTTGCACCACCTCTTGATCATATTACAGGAGACAGTGTTTCAGCCAAAAATGAAGTTAAACCAAAAATAAATATGAATAATGTTAAGCGATACCCTTGCTTAAGGTGTAATAAACGTTTCTCAAACCCAGAAGATTTAAAATTACATATGACTTCACATACTAGCGAGAGGCCTTATAATTGTAACATGTGCAGCAAGACATTTTTGAGAAAAAGAGAGCTCGACAGGCACTTGGCTACTCATACAGGCATGAAACCCTTTAAGTGTCCTAGTTGTGATAAGAGATTTGGGCGTAAAGACAAATTAGTAAGACACATTCGTATTCACGACATTAATAAAGAACATATATGCGTGATCTGTGGGGCTTCTTTTAATCGAAAAGATGGACTCGCTCACCATATGAAAACACATGCTCGAGACAACACCGATATCGCTCTCAACATTCTCTAATGATAGTAGAATTAGTCCAATTTGATCAATTTTGTTATTTATATTTTACAGTTTGAATTTTTGTCACATGCTATTTCAATTTATGTCAATAAATGATATGGTTTTGTAGATTTTGTTTTCAGAAATAACTATATTATATCGTTTTGAAATTAATGATAGTTTGATTACACATGCATTCTTAGAAATATCAAAATTGTCTAATTAAAAACACAAATCAGTGAATTTTTTTTCCAAACTTCAATACTGGAGCTTATTTTTATAATACACAGGGTGGTTTATGTTTGTGTACAGCATTGAATCTTGGAACTCTTTTAGCTCGCTTTTATACGCGCATTTTTTGTCGCCGACAAAAAACGCCGCGTTCTCTAAACGAATTGTCTTGTATGTACACTTTTACGCACTAACGTTGGTGAGGCACTCGATGCGTGTGTTACAGCGTTCTCAAATTTTCACCTTTTTTATCACTTTTTTGTTTTTTTTTATAATTATTGCAGTTGATAAAAGTATTAGATATTGTTCATGAATCGACAAAACTACATAGTATCAAATAAGCGTAATCATGTTCGTTAAATTTATAATCTTTATACATGGTGCCTATTATGTATGGAATATCGTATATATCTTGGTAAATATCGAATGTATACAAAATTTTTCTATATGAAAGTTGTTTAAAATTTTATTTTCCATAATAAGGCAGCATTCAGTTGTTTTTATTTCAGAAAACAAATGAGTAACGAAAAACAATTGAGTTTTTTAAATGGCAGTAGGTACACCTTTTCACTAGGCTCATTTGATAGAGATTTTTCTTCTCTTTGATGATATATAACACCGTTATTCAAGAAAATTTTTCAAAAAAATTTATTATAATGAGATCAATAACATTAATACAGATATCCTACATAAAAATAAAACAAATGAACATGTACGTTTCGTCTTAAACCTTGAAGACAAAATGAAATTAGCAGTAAAATGGCTTTCATCGAAATGAATGTTCCAAATGATCATTAACTGCAAGGCAGTGGTATCACTTATCACAAAAAGCTAGAAATAAAAATTTTTCCTACACGGATCCTAATAACGTGGTACGTCATTGAAAAGAGAAAAAAATCTCTTATCAAATGAGCCTAATGAAAGTGTGCATTGCTATTTAAAAAAATTCAATTGTTTTTCGATATTCATTTGTTTTCTGAAATAAAAACAATGGAATGCTGCCTTATGCTAAACTTTCATATAGACAAATTTTGTATACAGTCAATATTTACAGAGATAATATATAGGTACTATATTACATACATAATGGGTACCCTGTACATAAAACTTCTTTTTTCGTTGATGTCGCACTGTGCTATTTCGTCGATGTATTTAGATTTTTACATTCTGTAAGTTATCATGAATTCGTCAATATCGAGCATATGAAGACGCGGAGGGAGTTGTATAATAAATTCTAATTCAGAAAATGGTGTTGCATATTTGCTTTGGTCCAATCTACGAGTAAAACTTATTTTTTACTCGTAGGTTCCAATACATATCTGACTGGGCTCATAGTCATATGCTATACGTCTATGCAACTTATCTGTTCAATAACAAATTTTATTTGAAAGCGACACGCGACAAAAAAGGCTAAATAAAAGTTGCTTTTGTTTCATCTACATACGCTGCGTTTTTTATCGCCACGCGACAGGCGACAATAAACGCGTGCATAAAAGCGACCGTGCGTAACTAGAGGGGCGTTTTTTCCGCTACGGAATCAACGCAGCGTTTTACACGCTCTCACGCTGAAGAGTAGGCGGTGACCCATATCTGACGCCACACAGTGTCTGAGACACAAATTGTTTAGTAATTTCAACAGTACACAAAGGGTGCGTAGCCGTGGGTTGTTACTTGTGTTCACGGTGAATAATAACAGCTTGTGTTGCATGCGCCGCGTGCGTCTCAATGTGCGCCACACCTAAAGTGTAAATATGGAATATGGTAGACATATTTTTAATTTTGAATTACGAGTATAACACAATTAATTGATTTTATTTAACTATTATTGGTATGTTTTAAAGTTAAGTAATCAGTGTTTCAATATAAGAGGGTCGATTATGCTTATTACATACAGCCTAACTTACCGTTTACCTTGAATGAACTAAATACTTGTTTAAAGAAAACGTCCCTTACAGCTGCACCAGGTAACGACCAAATAACAAATAAAATGATCACCCAGACGACTAACCTCTTTAAGCGACGCCTTCTTAACTTTTACAATTACTGTTGGCAACAAGGGATATATCCGCAAGAGTGGAAAGAGGCAATTATAGTGCCTATATTAAAAGAAGGCAAAAATCGACTGGACTGTAAGAGTTATCGGCCTATAAGTTTAACCAGTTGCTTGGGAAAGCTGGGGATACAAAAATCGACATCACACTGTGGGGGTATTCTTTGATATCGAAAAAGCTTTCGACATGACATGGCGTGGTGGTATTTTACTACAACTAGAAAAAAAAAACAAAAACAAAGCAAAACAAGAAGCGTATTCTGTAACAAAATTGGTACCTACTGAAGATTAATATGATTTAAATTTATTACGAATGATTTTGAGAATTGATTAAGAAACTGTGTAACTGAATTTTAAAGGACCTAACAGATAACTTTTTTAGATTACTCGGCAAATCATTATAATTACAGCTTCGCAATATTATAGGTAAAGGACCTTTCAAATAGTGCTGTTTTGTGGAAGGGAGGTGTAATCAAGAGATTGAATCTAGGGTTCGAGCTAAAATGGATCTTACTATACAAATACCTTGGTGTTTTGCTCCAGATTAGATTATTTTGTGAAATAAAACTAGAGAATGGTATTTCCTTCTGTTCGCCATATTTAACCATTTCAGATCAGATAATCTATGGGAAATGCGATCATATTTTCTTATTCCGAATATCAGACGCATTCAAGAATTTTGCATTCGTTGTATACGTCTAACATCGGTACTGTCGAGGCATGCACCATACACCGAATCACAGTAGTTAAAATGAGACAGCACTATTGAGTCACATAATATACTTTTTACTTTTTTATTGAGTATGTTATTATATATCAATTTTAGGTTGGTAAACACGTTAGATGTAATAGTGGATATGTGGCGTTTAAATCGTAATCCGGAATCAATATATAAACCCAGACTTTTAACACAATCTACGTTTGACAATTGATTGTCTTTGACTTTCACACAAATCTCCTGTTTTGCATTATTTCTGGCATTTATCTTGCCAAATAGAATCGTAGAAGATTTTATAGGATTGATTTGCAGCCCATGTTCTTCAGATAAATTCACAAGAGTTTGAATGTCCTCATTTATATATTTATTTGCAAGTTTTGTTTCATAGTCAAAGAAATCAAATTGTATTTGTGTGTCATCAGCATATTGATGAAATTTAGTGTATTTCAGTGATTTTCCAAAATTAAAAGTGTAAATAATAAATAACAGCGGTCCGAGTACGGATCCCTGGGGTACCCCTGAAAGAAGATTAGCTGGCGCCGATTCCTGATCATTTAAAACCACTTGTTGGGTTCTTTGACTTAAAAAATGTTTTATTAATAAACAAGCATTTTCGCTGAACCCGATGTAATGTAAGAGGCTAATTAAAATCTCATGATTGATAGAGTCAAAGGCCTTGGAGAAATCGAGTTGAACTAGAGATGATAGTTTTCCTGAGTCTAGGGCAGTCAGTATGTTGTCTGTAATATTAAGTAGCGACGTGGCACAGCTGTAACCCTGTCGAAATCCAGATTGAGTAGGTGGTAAGATATCAAAGCAAGTTAAATATTGCTTAATCTGGTCAGTCATAATTTTCTCCAAGACCTTTGACAGCACCGGCAATATACTTATTGGACGCAAGTCTTTATAGCTTTTCGGAACAGTTGTCTTTAGTAATGGGATCATCTTGGCCTTCTTCCAAATTTTTGGAAATTCGTTATGTCTTAAACAGTAATTTATCAGATACGTTAAATAAGGTGTAATACAGGGAATACACATAATTAACATTTTGACACTGATGCCATCAAGCCCTACAGATTTAGTAGAAATTTTGTTGACATACTTGACCACATCAAAATCTGTTACTTCCTGGAATTCGAATTGTGAGCTTAGGTCTTTTATAAGATTATTATTGTAATATTGAGTTAGCTCCCCTCCATTTACTTGCGTTGTAGGTGTAGCAAAGAAATCACTAATCTTAGGTATGGACATCACTCAAAAATACTGGGATTTCGGTACGCGAAGATTTGCTATATATATTCATTGTTTTTAAATCATGCCAAATATTATTACTGGACTTTAGTCGATGCTCGATATAAGCCTTTTTTTCTCTTTTTATAGCAAGTGTCGTGAAATTACGCAATGTTTCATAGTAATCCCAGTGAGCGACATTTTTAGATATTTTGAACCTAGTATATGCCTTGTCGCGAAGACTAATCATAAATTTTATATTTTCTGTTAGCCACGGAGCAAATGGTTTGGTTATCTTTGCGGTTTTAAATGGTGCATGGCAATCAAAAAGGTGAATTATCTTTTCGTTCAAAAATGACACCATGCCATCAGCGTCTTTTAGCGAATAGATATAGGTAATTCCAATTAATGTTGTGCAAGTGTCTATTGAAGGATACTACCCCAGAACAAAAAACTTAGAAGGGAAACGTAAACGGGAACAACTGAGTGCAAATATAGTTAGTTTGGAGAACATTCAATAGATGGCGAATAGTTAGCGTGCGTGTTAAAGTTACTAAATCTAGTGACTTTCGTGCGTGTTCGCCATTATGACAGTTGAATTTTGAATTATGATTGACGGCTTATTGTGCTTTAAGTATAATTACTATTCATTATTACAATGAATTATGCATATACAAGTCGAGAACGTAAATGTTGTGTGACAAATTGTGAAGACGTTTCCCAAAAATGGAGCCCGAAGTTTTTAAGAATTGGTTTAGAATATAATTTTTCTGACTGCGCTTTAGAACCTGGAACACGAAGAGATTTAAAGCGTGTGGCAGTTCGCACATTATATTTAGCAGGTAGCACTAATTGAATTGTAATAAATTGCTACATATTTTGTTTTTAGAACGATCTCGAGAGCATCATACAGTAGAGTTCCATGAAGTTGATCTTGTATCTTGTATAATCATATTAAATTAAATATAACTCCTTGATTGGATTAATTGGAGTTGTTACTTATAAAACAAGTGCTCTGTACTCTTTGAAGGTCCTGACTGGTGAGGTGCATCCGCATTAAACTGAATTTATTTGGATCCCTAACAAACAAAATTGGACTTCACTGGCTGGATTCATTTACCTTTTAGGTTTCAGTTATAGTCAAATCCAATGTTATTGTTACAGATCCGGAGAAATTCAGTATCATGCGGACGTAGCTTACATTTTAATATTTAAATTTGGCGCCATTCACTCAAAAAGCTGCTGAGAACATACACGAGATGGCGCGTCATTTTTACATTACATTACAGTTTCCATTCTAAGTTTGTTGTTCTATGGATACTACATCAAAATTTCTAAAGTTTCTATAGGTACCGTCAAACGGGGTGGAGTCGATCAAAAAAATGCGTTTTTTTGAGATAACTGAAAAACTAATGATTATATTTTGACGCAATTAAAAATGTAACATCCTTGATGCTTAGGTTGTCGATTGGTTACTAAAAAAGGTCGTAGATGGAGCAGTTTTTTTTTTATTTTTAATCAAAGGGTGATCGACTTCACCCCATGGTTCGGGGTGAAGTCGATCACCCCTTTTAAAATGCATATTTCTCACTTCAGGCCCGTTTGGAGGTGTAGTCGATCATTGAAAAATAAAAAATATATATATTAAACGACATTTTCAGAAAAATTTTGCAATAAAACGCATATATTGAGAAAAAATAAACGTTTATTCTATGAACAGGATTAACACAGCCGTTGATTTCGTGATGAAACAAACCGTTCATAGACAAATTAAACTTAAAAATAAAAAACAAAAAATTAAACTAAAAAACAATATTCAAAAAAAAACAATAGAACGCAAAAAATTCTACTGGAGCGTTTCCAGTTCTTCTCCAAGCGAGAAATAATATTTGCCGCGCTTCAGAGACTTCAAAATAACACGTCGGACAATCTGTTGTCTGTTTATTACAGACTCATCCAGAATATTCGGAAAACTGAAGAACACAGATTTGTTGGATGCATGCTTTCTCAGTGTACTTACAACTAATTCAGTCTCTGTCATTTCAATAATTTTAGCGATATAAAATCGATCTCTTTTATTAGTTTCATATTTGGTGATTATAAAGTCTCCTATATCACAGCCGCCGGATGAGTCAGGAATGTCTACGATACGCCACTGCCCTAGCACACGATGATGAGAAAATCAAACAAAAACAAATTGCTTTGAACGTAACCTCAAAACCTCACAAAATACTGCGAAAATCAAGTGATTCACTTCACCCCGTTGTTTTGATTCGACACACAAAAATTCTAATTGAAACCACGCAAAAAATAAATTAGCATATCTGATTGAGCCCATCTTTTCTTAATGATATTCCTTATCACCTAGAGGGACTAGGACGGGCCTAGTTTTTACAGGTTCGGCTGTGCAGATGTTTGATTTCGCATATTTTACTGATTGATAAATTTTGCTTCCTACTATTTAATTTTTTTTGGAAAACTCACCTTTCAAGATCAACCTGCTTCACTAGTATAATGTTTGTTTGCTTGTTGGACACACGATCGTGAATAAAAATCAGCTGATTTGTGATGCGTTGTTGCCATATGCTTAAAAACAAGTGGAAATCCCGGTTTGATCAACTTCACCCCTGCCGATCAACTTCACCCCGTTTGACGGTAATGAATTTAGATTTTACATTCTTTATCAAAATTGTATAATCACAATACGTCAGAGAATGATCTGACACACCATGCAACGTAATAATTTTATAATTAGCATGTGACTTGTGGATTGGAACAATTATTAAATCTAATAAGGAACAACTCGTCTTGGATATCCTTGTGGGTTCATTAATTATTTGTTGGAGACCCATTGTTTCCAAAAGAGTTTGAAATTGAATGGTACCAGCATCTTCAACTTTAAGCAGGTTTAAATTAAAATCACCTAAACACACCAACTCATCAGCTGTAAGTAAAATTGGAACAATACGTTCCTCAAAAGATTCAATAAATTCTGAAATCGAAAAATCGGGGCGTCTATAAATAACACCAATTGTAACTGATTCGTTATTAAAAGTTAGCAAAGTCCAAATATGTTCGAAACACTTAATGTCACAGGTACGTACTAATTTATATTGCAAACTGACTTTGATGTATAATCCAACTCCACCTCCCCACGTAAGAGTACGTCTGTCTTTTCTTACAAAAACATATCCATTAATTGCTACCACCGAATCTAAAATAGTTGGCGAAAGCCAGGTTTCAGTAACTGCCACAATGTCGTAATCATTTTCCAAAACATGTTTCTTGAAGTCTATAAATGGATTGGTTAGTGATCGTACATTCAAATGTGCTAATTTAATTAGGTTAGTACCGTTGAGTGAAAAGTAATAAGAGACGCAACTTGATCAATTTATATGAGGCTTGTGCGGGCACCGACAAATAGATGCGCCAGTTGTCAAAAGGCACCGAGATCACAGAGTACTTGACTTTTATTCGATGCCGAGGCCCCGAGATGTTTAAGTGACGTGATTGATTCGAAAGTGTTTGTAATGACGTCACGTACTATTTTTCACTCAACGGTTAGTACCTACCCATCATTACACGAAAATAAGTGTAGTCATTGTCATTATATTTCGGTCTCGTTCCGGTAAATAAAATGTAGTATCCCCATCCCCGCGCCGAATGTTCACGAGGTTGAAAGCGAAAGAGTGGTCGACGTTATGCGTGTAGGTGTATACTCAACTCAAGCTCATTCTTCGTTTTCGTGCCGATTGTGCAGTACTTACACGCGTGTTTTAGGTTGTTTCACATTTCTGTACAGCATGCCTAAGGGTAATAAAAAGAGGAAAAGGAGGGACAGTTCTTCCGAAGACGAACGCATCTTAAGAAAAATACACAAGTTGCAGAAGCAATTGAGAAATCACAAAGAAAATTTTTTAAGTGACAACGACGTTGCATCCGGTGCATCACCTTTCAGTTCGCATTCGTCAGTAGAAGGGGCTGCAGATTTGTCGTTTAACGAGCCGACGCCAGCCCTTTCCGACGTAGTACAAAACATTATCACTCCTGAAGGTATTTGTTTTGAAGGATTGTTATTTTGCTATGGACGGACTTCCTTTGGGCGCCCGTAGTGTTTTAATGTATTTTCGGCAATAGATTCAATACCTATTTATGGTAATAGGCAAAATGCTATTTATGGCAATAGCATTTTTTGTAACTGCAAGGGGAAACTCACCACACGGCACCATTTGCCCAGTTTAATCTATTTATGGTAATAGATTCAATAGGCCTATTTTTGGCAATAGGCAATTTGCTATTTTGGCAACTTTAATTTAACCACGGTACTTTTCATTAGCAATTAGTTTTTTTTTTTTTTTTGCTATGACGTCTTTCTTACACAATGCACAAACGGAACGTTCCCGCGCACCGCTGTTTTCCAGTTGCATAATCATTTTATGAGGTCATCGCCCGGCAGTTGGAATGCGATGCGTTTCCCCTTGCTATTTTATATCGGTTTTAAACACGCCTTCCTGATCTGAATTTTTCAACCAGAAAATTTACTTATTTTGTTAATGTTTTTTTTCTCTCTGGTGGCGTAAGCTGAAAGCTTTTCTATACTGCAGGTCCATCACAGGAAGAACCACCAGCCCTAGACGAAAACATTTTGTCACTGCTAGGCAAATTACCTTCAAAGTCGATCACTTCGGGACCTCCTTTACATAAAGATGTAGCCACTAGATGGATTACCTTAATTAATGAGGGATTAGTGGAAGAGGAAAAGCTCTCGATCTTGCGCGATTACCCACCTGCGGATAATTGCCTATTGTTAAACAGTCCGAAGCTGAATCCCGAAATTGCAAAGGCATTAAACATACAAATTGTAAAAAGGGACGAAAATTTAGCGGAGCTGCAAAATCAAATTGGAGGCGCATTGTCAGCTCTAGGTAAACTGCTCACCTAGCTTTTGTCCAATGAAGGAGGAGAAAATTTTGACTATATTAAGTTAGCAAGCGATGCGAGTAAATTGCTACTTGACTTTCACCACAAGCAAGCTATAACACGACGTAATTTAATCGCAATAAATCTTAGGAAAGATCTCAAAGACACCCTAACCTCAAGCGCTTCAGATGGTTGGCTGTTTGGAGAGAAACTATCTGAACGTGTTAAAGCCGCACGAGAACTAGAAAGATCAAGCTGGGAACTCAAACAGAAAGAATATAAAAAGCAAGACCTTCGCAGGAAGACATCTTCCACCACTTTAAACTACCAGCGTCCTCCTCGGAAAGTTTTCAGGGAAGGCAACCAAGGAGGACGGCAACGACCAGTTTCAGGGAATGCCTTCAATCGGAACAGGGAATATTACAAGAAATCGACCACCAACCGAGAACCTCGGAAACACAACTATCAACGCCAGGAAGCTCGTCCCAAGAACCGACACCACCACAACCTGTAATTAAAGAGGTCAGTAGTTTAGTAGGACGACTTGGACATTTCTCGCATGCTTGGCGAGCGATAACCGGAGATAAGAAAATTTTATCTTGGATTGAAGGGATAAAATTGCCTTTCATTTGCAAACCGGCACAAAAAGTTGCACCTGCAGAACCAATTTGGTCACCGAAAGAAAGTGCAATTCTTTCTGTTCACATCCAAGAACTCTTAGAAACAGGTGCAATTAGTGTAACAAAACCCTGTGTGGGTCAGCATATTTCAAATATTTTCATGAGACCCAAACCTGATGGTTCGCATAGAGTAATCTTAAATTTAAAATCACTAAATATTTTTATCGGAACCCAGCACTTTAAAATGGAAGATCGAAAAACAGTTGCCAATCTGCTGCAAGAAAAAGCATATATGGCCACCATAGATTTGAAGGATGCGTACTACCTTTTGCCAATTCGCAGAAAAGACAGAAAATTCTTACGTTTTAAATTTAAGGGGACCCTTTTCCAATATAATTGCATGCCTTTTGGGCTTAGTTGCGCTCCTTTAATATTTACAAAATTAATGAAACCAGTAGCTGCTTTCTTAAGGAAAAATAATTTTACTTCTGTCATCTATTTAGATGACTTCCTCTTGCTAGGAAATTCATTTGAAAAGTGTAATGATAACGTTGTTTTCACTATACAGTTTTTAGAAAAACTAGGGTTTGTTATAAATTACAAAAAGAGTGTACTAACCCCTAGTCAATCGTGTCGATACCTGGGATTCATTTACAACTCCATGGATTTGTCAATTTCAATACCAGACGATAAGAAATCTGGAATTATTAAATTACTTCAAACTTTCTCAAAGACAAGGAGGTGCAAAATCAGAGAGTTCGCACATTTAGTGGGGAAACTTGTCTCTCTCTGCCCAGCAGTGCGCTATGGTTGGTTATATACAAAATTATTGGAGCAACACAAATTTAGAGAATTATTAAAGTCCTCTGGTAACTTCCAAAATTTAATGACTATACCAAGCACCTTGTTAGGCGATTTATGTTGGTGGAAACGCGCTGTTCCAAGCGGATCTAATAATATTCGGCTGGACCATTTTGATCTGGAAATTTACTCGGACGCTTGCTTGACAGGCTGGGGCGCTTATTGTAAAAACAAAAAATCACATAGTCTCTGGTCATTAGCTGAAAGGGATACCCACATAAATTTCCTAGAATTACAAGCGGCCTTTTTTGGTTTAAAATGCTTCGCCAACAAACTGAAACATTGTAGCATCTTACTGCGAATAGACAATACAACAGCCATTGCCTATATTAATCGAATGGGGGGTATTCGATATGAAAAACTGAATACTTTGTGTCGCGAAATATATGGCAATGGTGCGAACAGAGAGATGTCTTTATTTTTGCATCTTACATTAGTTCTGCAGAAAACAAGGAAGCTGACACTGAATCTCGGAAGTTGCACCAAGACACAGAATGGGAATTAAATTTTAACGAGTTCAAAGAAGTGGTAACTAAGCTAGGAAAACCAGAAATAGACTTGTTTGCAAGCAGGTTAAACAAAAAATGTGAACACTTCGTGTCCTGGCACAATAACCCAGAGGCAAAAGACACTGACGCTTTCACCTTAGACTGGTACTCATGGAAGTTTTATGCTTTTCCCCCATTCTCTTTAGTCTCACGGGTGTTACGAAAGCTGGTAAATGATAAGGCAGAAGGAATAGTTGTGGTCCCATACTGGCCCACACAACCTTGGTACCCTTTATTTACTTCACTGTTGGTCAAACAGCCAATAATTTTAAAACCAAAATATAACTTGCTTCTCTCCATTGATAGGTCTCCACACCCATTATGGCGCCAGCTTACCCTGGTGGCAGGATACTTATCGAACAAGCCCTAAAGTTAGAAAAAATTCCGGAATCAGCACTGGACATATGCTTGTCCTCAATTACACCAGTAACACTCAAACAATATGATTCAGGATTGAGAAAATGGTGGTCATTTTTTAAACCAACGAATGTCAACATTTCCACTGCAACAGTTGTCGACATTTTGGATTTCCTAGGCAGTTCCTTTAAAAAGGGTGTATCTTATGGAACATTAAACTCTTACAGATCAGCGATTGGACAATTGAGGAGTCCCATCATAACGACCGACTTTCGAATTCAAAGGTTTGTTAAAGGAGTATATCACCTGAGGCCAAACTTACCGAAATATGAAAACACATGGGATCCCTCCATCCTTTTAACATATTTGGACACCCTTAAGAACACGGAAATCACGCTTCAACAACTATCCTACAAGGTAGTTACGCTTCTGGCGCTTGCTACAGGACAGCGAGTTCAAACGTTATCCTTAATTGAAATGGCAAATATAAGATCAACTTCGGAAGGCCTAGACATAAAAATACCCCGAAGAATAAAAACATCTAGAAAAAATGCATTCCAGCCATCACTATCGCTCCCATTTTATGAAGAAAACACAAACACCTGTGTAGCTACAGCTAGCACCATTCTGCTTTACATAGAGAAGACGAGCAGAGTTCGAAACTCAGATGCCTGCGGAAACCTTATTATTACATTTAAATATCCACACAAAAATGCATCAGCACAAACCATCAGCCGCTGGATCAGACAAACGATGTTGGATGCGGGTATCGACACGGAACAGTTCTCAGCACACAGCACAAGACATGCAGCTACTTCATTGGCCAAACGGAAAGGTGTCCCGCTAGACATAATACATTCTGCAGCGGGCTGGTCAAAGAACTCAAAAACGTTTGCCAAGTTTTACAAAAGACCATTACGAGATCCACATGCATTTGCAAAGGCAATATTGGCCAATAAATCCTAATCGTAAGAAGCGTATTTTGATCCACTTATATCTTTTGGATATTTCACTGTTCTAGTTTACCATAGATACCATATATAAGTTTTAGTATTATGTTCAAAAAAATTTAAAATAAATTGGCTCACCCACATAAATAATTTTTATGGAATCCTTTGTTATAATGGAAGTTGCCTCAACTCTCTAAACATCTACATTTTATTTACCTTCACGAGACCTCATATAATTACGATCGAACTTCACACAGGTAAGTTCGTTTGATCTAGTAATTATACTCATACAAATTACAATTGAAGTGAGCTTTGATATAGAAAAAGCATACCCACACAAACAATGCATGTGTTATATGTATATATAACATTCACAATAAATAACTAAGAATTTACAAATTTTATAGTTCAATGTACATCATTTAAACAGTCTGTATTAAATATGTGAAATACCTTGGAGTTATCATTCATACGCATAAAAATTTTCCCATTACGCACCCAAAGATATTTAATGTTATGCGTCTTTTTGTACTCTCTACACTTTGAAAATAACTGTCTGTTGACGACTTGTGTATATTTGGTAGTGGCAAAACTATTGGTCAAATATCAAGAAAAATGCAACCTATTGTTAATCAAGTTTTGGAAAATGCTGAGGAAACAGGATTTACTTTTTCTGTCACCAAAACAAGATGTGTCCACTTCTGTAGGCTACGTACACCACATTACGACCCCCTACTGTTCATTAATCAAACCCCAATTCCATGCGTGGATTACGTTAGGTTTCTGGGTATGACATTGGATAGTAAGCTAACTTGGGAGAAGCACATTAGCGACTTGATATTGAAATGTGATAGAGCTTTAAACCTCGTCAAATGTTTGTGCTCTACAAAATGGGGCGTCGATGTGGCTACTTTAATCAACATATACAAGTCCCTCGTATTATCGAAAATTGATTATGGATGTTTTGTCTACGGTTCAGCTAGATCCTCTCGATTGTTACAACTTCACAAAATTCAAAATCGTGCTTTGAGACTATGCTTAGGTGCATTCCCTACATCGCCGAGCACCAGCCTCCACATAGAGGCCAACGTCATGCCTCTGCAATATAGAAGAGAGAAATTATTAAGCAACTATGTTTGTAACAGAGCATCACATGATAGTCACCGTAATTATAAGATCCTCTTTAAAAATGTTACTGCATACACCGACAGACCCACTATTACTCGTCCACTAACTGTAAGAGCGCAGGAAATTCATCCAGATTTGTTAACTGAAATATGTAATATAATACCTCACAATAAACCGGAAATTCCCCCTTGGAGAAATTTTCTAATAAATGTTGACACTAGTCTGTTGCAGTATGATAAATATGGCACTAACCCTAAATTAATACGTGCACATTTTCATAATATTGTAACGTGATTTATAAATTCGGGTTCGATTTATATCAATATTTATTAAACAGAACTAAAACACTATATAATCCGTACAATTTATATCGGTTATTTATATCACTCACAAACTCACACTTCGCAATTTATATTTCCGCGCTCGATGTTTCGTCCGTACTCGTTCGGTAGTAGACTCCCGCGATGTTCGGTCCGCAACCATTTATACACGCAAGCAATGTAAGTCCCGAACATTCTCGAATACGCGTAGAAAATTCCAGAGCGCCAAAGGCGACGTCATGTCTGGAGCATTTCCGTTACACTGCCCCCTTCTTAATTCTGGACGTCTCGTTCAGAAACTGCGTTAGTATTACTTTTTAATGCCTCGTGTCGGAATCTGCAGTCAGAGCCTGCTCGACAAACACCTTTC